GCCTGAGGCAACTTCTCAGGAAGGGAGCCAGAGAAGTAAATCTCTGTCCTTTCTCTTCTCCCACTGATCACCTTCCTGGCTCCCCAGTGACTTCTCTAACCAGAAGCCAGAGGGCCTGGGGACCTGTAGATGCAGTATATAAAGGTCTCAGGGCAGAGAACAGGAAGGTAAATCTGGAAAAGGAAATGGAATATCTCTGTCACTTTGCCTTCGGAATGGCAGTGTGAGGGAATGTTCATGTTGAATTTCCCAGACAATTCCATGTTGAAAAGTGACAGTTCTTCGGGGAGCCAGTGCTCGAGAAACATGCAGTTTGCCTATCCTTCCTGGAAGTTCACAAAACCAGGTAATAATAACCAAAAAGACAAAAAGCAGACTTCCTCAGTATTTAGATATGGCATGCTTCTTAGGTATCTTGCTACTGGTTAGGTTGTACAACATTTGTGTTCACTAATTTTAACACGGGATACTCCACTGCCAAATGGCAAGAACAGTTAGGAGTACAATACAGAGAGCTCATTCTGGAAGGATTTGAATGCTTTTTAGGAAAGTGGTCATGACCCATACTCACACTTGGAACCAAAGTTAGCTAATCTTAAAGCATGAGTTGTGTCTTAAAAAAAAAAAAATATATATATATATATATGAACTCAAGTGGGAATTTTTTGTTACAAGTTCTTTTCCCAAAAGAATGGCATATCTCACTACATGTGATACAAAGGTCACCTTTATTTCTAGGCGATTTTTATTATAATGGAATATTATAAAGGAATATATACATTAAATATATAATTAAATTATATATGATATAATAATATAATTTATAAAGTGTATTTTTGTAATCCTATTTGTAAATTTGGTATTGGATATGAGGAAGGTCCATCTTGAAATTTAGCCAAAAGATTTTAGCTATTGAAATACCAGAGTAATTACTCAAAAGATAATCTACAAGTGTGAATACCAAGGCAAGTGATTAATTAATCTCCTATCTGTCCTCAGAGACAGTTGACATTTGTGATTCAGTAGAAGAAAAAGAAAAGACAATGAAACAAAGGATAAAATATGCCACACAGAATTCAGTTTGTTAAACAATAAACCAAATCCTGAGAAGAGTTGGGATTAGGTCCCAAATTTACCTTCATCCTTAAGTTAGAACCCTTGTAAATTGCTAATGGGACATAAAATGGTGCAGCCACTGTGGAGGCAGCATGGCGATTCCTCAAAAAGTTAAACAGAGAATTAGCATATGACCCTGCAATTCTGTTCTTAGAAATGTGCTCAGAAAAATCGAAAGTGGGGATTTCAACAGATATTTGTATGCCATTGCTCATAGCAGCATTTTTCACAGTGGCCAAAAGGTGGAAACAACCCAAGTGTCCATCAATGGACAAATGGATAATAAAATGAAGTATATACATCCAATGAAATAATACTCAGCAATAAAAAGGAATGAAGCCATGGTATGTGCTAGTACATGGTTGGAAAACATAATGCTAAGTGAATTAGGCCAAACATTAAAGGACAAATTTTGTTCTTATATGAAATATCTAGAATAGGCAAATTCATGGAGACAGCAAGTAGATTAGAGGTTACCAAGGCTTGTAGGGAAAGGGAAATGGGGAGTTATTATTCAATGGATACAGAGTTTCTGTTTGAGATGCTGGAAGGTTTTCGGAGATACATAGTTGTGACTGGTCGCACAGCATTGTGAATGCACTAATGCCACTCAATTATACAGTTAAAGTGACTAAAATGGAAAAGTTTATGTTCAGTGTATCTTACCACAACTTAGAACAGTTTTTCTCCATCCCCTTCCTCCCCATAGTATTACGTTTCAACTAAGGACCTCAAACGAACCTCAGAAATCCTGCACAGTGCTGTAAGGTGAGCTTGAATAAAGCCACACGATGAGTGAGGCTGACAATAAAACTTCTGACTTGTTCATTTCTGGTTGGAGTTCAAAGGCCTGGAATGACCTTTCTTAGGCCTTAGTTATCAAACAGGGGATGCTAATAAATCATTAGAACATTAAAGAGAGTTTTAAAAAAAGATGATTCTTCAGTATTCCTCAATCAAAGGCTGCCAGCCTCTTCTTGCTAAGACCTTAAAATAACTATGCTTCCTGAAGGCCTAAACAGAACCGCAGCTTCTGGATCATTGGTACCCAAATGGGACATGAGGACAGAGGCCAAGCTGGCTTGTCAGAGGTGATGGAGATTGCTACCACCATCGGACTGGTGGAAGCACCGCATTCTTCTTCCTCCGGCCACGCTCTAAACTCGTTGTTTCCGTCTCCCATGCTGCGGTATAATTGTCCAGAATCATAGCTTTCATTTTTGTTAATAAGCAGAATTTTTGTCAAAAGGCTTTAAAATAGTAACTACTGACATTTCCAGTTTAAAAAGTAACATGTTTTTATTATAATGATTTTAAGGGGGAAAAAAAAGCACAGAAAATCTCAAGGAAGGAAAAATAAATTACCCATCCATAATTTTACCATCCAGATATAATTATGGTTAGTATTGTCATGTGTTTGCCTAGTGTGAGGCTTATATGATTCATTTTAGTCAAAAATTATAGTGCCTAACTTTTCTCCATTATTACAGAAATAGTTTTGCCTCAAAAAATATTGGGGAAAGTGCAGTGTACACAGAAACGTCCCGTCACAGGCAGACAGTTCCCACCACCGTTTGGATGTGCTCTAGCCCAGTCAGGCAAAGCCTGCTAGCAGGGATAGCTGCGGTCTGAAAAACCACATTTATTGACTTCTTTCTACAATAAGGGAGACCACAAACCAGAGGAACCACGGGGTGTCTCGCCGAAGAAAGAAAGAAATGGGGTTATTGCAGGATTGAAGAAGCGCCGTGCTTTGATAGGCTCAGAGCAAAGCCGAGCTGTGGATGAAAGAGCCAACGTGAAGTCTGGGCTGGAAAGTGAACCCAGAGGCCTTTTTCCTTGGAAACCACAAAGTTAATACAGATGTGAAACGTTGTGCCCAGAAATCCCTTATCTGAAATTCTGCACATGGGTCGGACGTCACGGCAGCTTCTCTGGGTCAAAGGATGGAAATCTTACCAGTAAGAAGAATGGAGTGCTTCCTTCTTATGCTTATGATTTCAAAGAGCAAACTTTCTGACCGTCTGGATATCAGAAAACAAGATTTCTCACTAAGCTAGTTGGTGTCCCTTGAAGAAGGGAGCTGTTATGACATTTATAGTTGCAGCACGGCCTGGGGAGAAATGTTTTCTGTGAACTTAGCAGCTGGCGTGACCTCGATCTGTATCTATTATCCCACTTGGATGACTGGCAGGCCAGAGTTTTTACCTTCTCAGTGAGAGCTAATTTTTATTTTTTTCTGGTGTTTTTTTCCATTGTTTTTAATACCTGAATTTTTGTTTCTTTGTGGTCTAAATTGTTGCAATTTTGTATATCTGGCTGCAGATCTATTTTTTGTGCTTAATATTATTTTATTATGCTTTTTATTTAAGTATTTAGTTTTTAATACATATCATTTTAATAGTAAAGAGTAGACCAAAGTAGACTTGTAAGTGGACCAAAGATGACTTAACAAATCCAAATTGGTTATTACCAACTTTTAATTATCATAAATTTCTATTTTTATTACAATAAGTTATATTATGATAGACATCTGCATGAATACAACTTAATGCAAACCAACTACTGAGCCTTACTTTAATTTGCATTTTTTGTATTATTAGTGAGGTTTAAGTTTTCCCATATTGTTTAATAATTCTAGTTCATTCTTACGTCTTCTCAGAAACTTTCCCTCAATTATGTGTATTAAGAAGCTTAAGATGTTTCTCATCAAACCATCTTAGCTCTTTACATAGTAAAAATATTATGTATTAAAATACTGATTTACTATGTATGGTGATGGATGTCAACTAGATTTATTGTGGTGATCATTTCATAATATATACAAATATTGAATCATTATGCGATATACCTGAAACTAATATGATGTTATGTGTCTATATCCCAATTTTTTTTTCAAGTTCAAATATTGATTTTTTTGTCATGTTAACAGCAATAGTTTTTTCCTTGGATATAGCTTACAGCAAGTCTTTGTGAGGTTATTCTTTTACACTTTTGAAATTCTTAATTACCTCAGAGCCTGAAGTTGGCAACCAGAAATCTGGATCATCAAGTTTCACTAATCTCCTGCTGATGGAACCTGGCTTGTCATGATCGGTTGTGATGAATGACATCAAGAATGGGTTACAAATGATAAAACACCAGCTTCGAATAATGATTTATTTTAAAAATTAATTCTAACAATTTCAAAATTATTCTATAATATTGTTCTACACCTTCTAGTTTCCTTTCTTAAGAGCAATGAGCATTGGAACAGCTCCTAGTTCCATAATGACTGTCAAACAGTGACAAGATGTAGCCAGTAAAATCCAAGCCACCAATACCAATGAGTGTGGCAACTGTAAAACGTTGTAGTGTTTTTCCATATGAGAGTCACATTTTGTATGTGTCTCAGACAAATAAGGGGAAAAAAGGCTGAGTTAAATTATACTGTATCTCAAGACTGAATCAATGAGTAACTCAAGAAAAGATGGCTTAACACTAAAACCATTACTACCATTTAAAATACCTGTTCTGATCCCTTTGTCTCCTATCTGCTTTCTTTTAGGTCTGGGATCATATCTTCTCCATATTTCTCTCAGGGCCATGGTTAATTTTGATAGTTACCTTCGTGATTCTGTGAAGTCTAGAAGCCTATGTGATTGTAGTTATCACAGTATTTTAGTTTGTCCTTTCCCTAAATTCCTCTGGTCTTTTCATTCTTATCACTGCTAACTGAACGTACAAAGTTCAAGAACTTGAAATATCTGAACGTCTTATCTCCCTTTTTTAATGCCCTTGATTCATTTAATAATTGATGGGGTAAAAACAGCCTTGGTTGAAAATTCACTTTGGAAAATCACATGACCCAATAAAGGTTATGACTGACCTGTTGAAAGGGCTGCTTTCCTTTGTGCTTGGCCTCAATACTTCTCTTATTTAATACCGGGCTTCAGAGCTACACTGTTCAAACGCTGCAGATACTGTGTTTGCAGAATGGATGACAATCTTGCAAATCAGGGACCACTGAAAGCACGATAAGAAAATAAATACGAGGTTTGTTTAACTGGGGCAGGCAGGGTGGAAGGGGAAGCTTCTCAGTCTGTATCCAGAGCTATGTGGGACGCCAAAGCCAAACTTAGGCTCTCCTTCCCAGCTTCAGCCTTTTAATACAGATGGGATCAGCTTAACGTGAATGTCCAAAGTGGTCTTGAAAGAGAAAGGAGAGGGAAACGATATCACAAAGAAAACAAAATAAGCAGTTAAAGTCTATCAGAGATGTATGGGGGCAGGTCTGTCCTCCCTGCCTTCTTTGTGGAATCGTGGGATACTCTCAGGTCTATCACCTCTTCCTAAGCCTTCCTTCTTGTCTCTCCTTCCTGACAGTCTGAGAGTAGGAAGCCCTAAAAATTAAATTGAAATTGCTTTTATAGATTAATTATGTTAATGCTGGGTTCACTTGCATTACTTTTCTTCAATTTCATAAATCTCTTTGAAGTCATGGTAATGATGACTACTAAGTATCAGTCAAAAATATGATGATCTTTATTTTAAGAAAATTAAAAATACAGCCAAGTACAGAATTAAGAACTGTTAGCATTTGCTTATATTTGCTTTTCTTTCTTATCGGAGGAAGAAAACAACACAATAGCGTTGAAATATCCTTTACATCAGCTTCCAGCCTCATTTCTCTTCTTTTCCCCAGAGGCAATGTTTACCATTAACATTTCCTCTGTATGTATGTTAGCAGTCTATTTTAGAGAGATATATATACACACACATGTCTTGAGTGAAAAAGAATTTCTAATTTATATAAATAGGAATAGATGGATATAACTGGACAGAAACATTAGATTTTTAAAATTTATCTATATCGAAAGGCACTATTTTATAGATAGATACATAATCTTATTTTTTCCTTTAAACAGCTATATAGAATTCAGTTATAGGACTATTTAATTTATGTATTCCTCTTTGCCATATATTTTGAATTTCTAATTTTTTTTATTATGAGAATTCCTCAGATAAATACCTCCGTACGTGTTTCCTTGTACTTGTATACAAAAGATATTTAATGGAGTGAAAGGTTTTAGACTGTAGATAAATACATTTTCAAATTTACTCAGTATAGACGTATTTATTTCCATAGGAAATATACCTCTAACAGTGGTTGTAAATTCCTATTTCCCCTCATTTTGACCAATATTCAATATTGTCATACTTCAAAATCCTTGCCAACCTGAGGTATACTTTGCTGTTTTAATGTGCATTTCCCTGCTTCTCAGTGCATTGGTTATTGTCTCACATGTTTATTCACCATTCAGGTTTATTTTTGTTTTTCTTCCTGAAAACTGTCTATTCACTTCCAATGATCTTCCTGGAAAGAGCAAGTTTTCTGTTTGCACTCAGGAAACTGAGGCTCAGAGAAGCCAAGTGATCTGCCCAAACTCACAGAACGAGTGGGAACCCCAAGCAGGGTTTCAACCTCAGCACCCCACTTCACACCATTTCCCTCTTCCCATCACTTCTCAAGACACCCATCAATCCATTTTAACTCTTTTCACCTCACTGTACTCGACCTCCTGATCTGGGAAGATTATCTAAGGCACTCATGAAGAAAGGGAATTATCTGTTTTGAGATTCTGGCAAGCCCTGCCCCGAACAGTGACCCAGGGGTGCCCGGAATCCCTGGATTTGAAAGCTTTTCTCTTTGTGGTCAAACCTTCACAACAACTCTGTGAAGTGGGCACTATTGTCATCATCGGTTCACACATGAGGGGTTACAAACTTGCCTAATGTGGCAGAACAAGAAAAGCATTTAAAATTCTTCTGAGTTAGAGGAAGATGAATCAGATTTGCTCAGGAGAAACTTTGCAGAGAAGATGAAAGCCAGTGTCAAAGACAGCTCCTTTCTTTCTTCAAACTTTCCCCCAGATTCAGCCTTCGTAGAATCACAGGGTAATACATCTGTAAAGATCCTTCAGAGCATCTTTTAAAATCTTTTGTCTCTCTTCGGTAAAGAAGCTGAGGTCATTATCTAATCTACAGGAGTCAAGTAATTACAAGAAAACACTGGCAGAAACTCTAGTCAGAACTAATATACGAGGGTCACAGAAGAAGATGTGCACATTTCAAAGCATGATGAAGCTTACCTTATGGTCTTTTTAACTGAAACTTTTATAACAAAGACTCTCAGTTGACAAGAAGCACAGCCCCACTTTAAATCTAAATAAAGCAGAGATAATGGTCTAAAGAGCTTTTGAGTGTGTGTGTGTGTGTGTGTGTGTGTGTGTGTGTGCGTTTACAGACTTAGATTAATCTTCTGCATACAGTTGTGTATTCTGGTATCTTAGTCTTTTGGTTTCCTGGCAATAAGAATCCACTTCATTCACTCTGTTACATACCTTCCAATCCTGAAACTTCCTTTCCTGGAGGCTGATTTCTCCTCTACCCTCCCCCAACTCATCAGTTTTGCCATAACCCCAGAGAAAGGAACAGGTTAAGTGTGACTCCTGGAAAGTGGAGCATATGATGTAGGAGGATGTCAAGAAGGACAGAGGGGAGAAAGCCCATCCCTTCTGATTCTGGTGGCGTGTGACAGGTAGAGAGGAAAAGGAAAGCAAGTTCGTGGTGAGACGTCATGTTGGGCCTCCTCTCTGGCCAAAGTCCTGGGAGGAGAAGGCAGAAGAGTGGACATGAAGGGCAGGGCCATTGCCCACTGGAAACTGGAAGGAGGGGAGGTCATCTCACAAGTGGTCCCTACCACCAACCGAGATAGGGAGACAGTAGACCTGAGTTTGGCTCTCCCAAGCCATCCTCAGTTTCTACATGGCATGGATGAGATCCCAGAATCTCCTCTGTGCCCCAAAGGGTATTCTGATGTGAGTCAGCCTTTAGCTAGATGTTTGATGGAGGAGACCACCATCTTTTGGACAAAGAGACCCTGGAGCTGAGGAATGTACCACTGGAAGAGGAGACACAACAAAATTTCAGAGGCCCACAGCAAAAGCAAGGGCTAAAGAAGAGCTGGGTGAGTAGACAGGGCTTACTGGACTAGTTAGACAACACGAAAACAGAGCTGGATCTACGCTCGCTGCACGTCTCAGCAATGGATGCCTGAAGGGCACTGAATTGACATAAGCCCTCTAGTAAATTTCCAGACACTGGTTTTTTAGAGAAAAACAGTAAGGGGGGAGCTAATTTAAAGTATAAGACACTAAGACAGTCATGGCATATGAATTATTTGTGGAGACTCTTGAAGTCATTGGATTACACTGCATTTACTGGATATGTCTGAAACACAGTTTTCCCACTGCCTGGGGGAGCTAGTAGGGAAAATCAGATCTATTTTCAAGATGAAAAGTGTCTATGTTTTCTTTGCTTATCTAATGGCATTGTGAGTAATTTTTCTATGCAATGACACCAGCTTAAGTGGAAAGGGAAAAAACTGAAGTGGTACCAGTAAGGGCCTGAATACAGCACTTAAAACTATCAGGAATCCAGGCATCTATGAGTTTTATCTCTCTCTCCCTCTCTTTCTCACACACACTCACTCACACACACACACACACACACACACACACCCCCCCTACCAGTCTTTATGCGCACATAGCTGCTTGTGTCGCCCAGCAGAGAAGAATATCTTCAATCTCAATTCTAGTACCTAATTCCAGTGGTCACAAGAAACTAATGTGGCTGCTGAAGGGCATTCCCTTGGTGGGTAAGCACATTGGT